TATAGAAAGTGGACTGCCCACATTTCTTCCTGTTTTACATAATAAATAAAGAAAAATGATTAAAAAAAGAAAGAAATACACAAATTCAACAATTACCCTATAAATAAACCCTGTAAATAATAAAAAAATCTATTAATTTAAGAAGAAAATAACAATGTTCAAATAGACAAAGTAATAAAGAAAAATAGCTCCAACAGATTTGTTTACGGCATTAATAAAATAGTCATGAAGTGTTAACCTCTTAATATCCACCTCATTTCTGGGAAATTCGCCTATTTTGCATACCAAAATGGAAAGCAAATAACTGAGGAACTGTAAGCCCAAATAACATGTGTTATACATTATTTGAAAGCTAAAATCTTCTAGTTTCTGAATTTAAACATGAAAATTGAGTGAGTAAAATACCAAAGCTGCATCAAGTCCATGCTGCATCAGTTCAAACATGACTCAAAGTTGCTTTTTTGTTCTAGAAAATAATAAGTCTTTTTTTAAACAGCGGTAATAAAGACATGCTTGCTTGTTGTGGCTGCTTTGTCATGCTACATTTCGACATGCTGCTATAATTGTACTTTGGTGCTCGTCTATATTGGTAACCATTTTACCAGTGTAATTTTCATGCATTCTGAGTTATTATTTGTAGGAGAGAGGAGGTCAAAATACTTCAGCTCACAAATGGCTCACTGTTTTAAAGCAGTGAATAAATGATATTAAATGCAACAGAAACCTCACTGGACAAAACCACGGTTTTGTCTGGCCAGATGTAAGTCATGGAGGACATATTGATCTGCATCACCACTGTCAAACCTTTAGCTATGCACGGACTTAACTGAAATATTCAGAGTTTTTAAGCATTTTTTATCCAACATATCACAGCACTTATTTAAGATGGCTATTGTGGTGTTAAGGAAAGCTCTATGTTTACACCTTGAAGCTTTCTCTCTCCGGTTCTTTTCCATAGAGGAGATCAGTCGCGACAAACTTTTTAGGTAACACTTCATAATGAATATGTATGTAATAACCATGAGGCATGACAACAGATTTTGATAGAAATTGTAATCATACTCAGATCAGAGAAGTTGCTTAGGGTTACAGAAGGCAGCTGCTCACCAACAGGACTCACATCTTGTTGAAGTGGCACCGAATCATAATTAAAGAAGCATTTTATAAAACTCAACTATGCCACATCATTACATCATAAAGGTTTGTAAATGGGGAATCATCCATGGCCATCTCAAAATATTACTCTATGTTTTTAGATCAAGGACACTACTCTCATTCCTTTTCCAAATCTTTGCCACGACAAAATGAAGATGACTTTCTATCCTGACTGTCCTAATTAGATAAACTACTTGGGAAAACATTAGTTCTGACACGCAACAGGCAGGTATTAGGGTTTAACCGACTCACACATCATCAAAAAAAAAATCCTAACAATGGGAAGTACATTTATTTATATAAAGTCTTTTATTAAATTGAAATCTGCTTTTACTGTGTGGCAGGACTTTTAGTCTTCTCAAAAACAGCCAAATCCTTTATATTTCCCAAAAAAATATTTCAGCAGGAAGAGAATCATACTTTACATCCACCAGGACATTCCTTCGTCTGACTCAAACAGGGACTCATTGATGCCTCATCTGCTGGATTCACTTCAGAACCTGTGTGCTTCCCTGATCAGCTTTTGTAGGAACAGAAACAGTTGGTGTAGTTACAAGAAGCAAATTATTGTGAGAAAATTATCTATAGAATGAATTATTTGCATAAGCTGATTCTGGTGATTCAGTAGACAAACAAGGACTGCTGTTCCTATCAGTATTCTAAAGATGATCTTATATTAAAGATGCACAACTGAATATTTAATTAATCAAAAACAATGAAAAACTAAACTACTTCTTACCATTGTGGTGAATAAAACAAAACCCTTATTTGTCACTAACATAAGAAGGGGAGAGATACAGATGCTCAATTATTTTCGATGAATATCACCAGAATATGTGACCAAAGTGCAGAGATGTAAATCATTTTACTGGAGGGTCAAGAAACCTTTTGGAATAAAAACACTGTACATCAACAAAATAACACAAAATGCACATTGAGGCATGGCGGTGGAAGCATCATGCTTTGGGATTGTGTTATTCAGATAAGATGGAATCCTTTGTCTATGTTGTTGTCATTATGAACTGCTGTATATACCAGTTAGTTTTGGCACAACAAAAAACTTCAGATATGTTCTGTATTAAAGTAATTTAACATGAAAATGATCTGATCCAAATCAACAAAATACCTGCTTCTCTAAAGTCAAGAGCTGCGGTATGAATACACTGGTACCCAATAACACTGACAAATCTGACAACATCCAAAGGTGTCAGATTCAACTATTCAACTCAAGGTATGAGTTGAATAGAACCACATTATTTATGTTGTTTCAGCATAAGAAAAGTTATTGGTCCTGCAGAAGGTTAAAAAATATTCACCTATTTCTTATTTCTTTTTTTTTCTTTTTTTTTAAAGATAAAAAAAAATAAATAAAACTGGCAGGAATTATCTTCTGTGTGCAGAACCTTTGGATCAATTCTTTCCTGCTCTATGAAAGGTGAGAGAATCTTTACCTACATTTTCTTGGTGATAATGTTGGGGATTAAACTAAATTAACAGCACAGCTATTATAATATCACTTTTTTTCATATTTTCAAGACCAAATGATCTTTTACTTTAATAAGATTCTGAATGCAATGAGTCGACAAAAGATTCAGAACTTCTAGTGAACATGAGCCAAAACAGGCTACTGTTAGAATTAATTTATTAGAATATCACTGATTTAAAAAAAATAATAATTATATTGGATTTACCAATATTATTGATTCAGGCAAAGTCAGGATTTTTATTCCATATCAGCAGCCTTTGACCCCAATCGTTGTTGACATGAATTACTCCCTTGAGGTGTACAAAGATGATATTTCTTTATCAAGGCTTGAGATATTTTAATCAGAAGCTGTTACCCAAATGCCTTAGGGAGCTGTCTTTGTCAAACTTGGAACATTTTAGCATTTCAGGTTAGACATTTCTGATAATGAATAAATGCTGCCATCTACTGTTTTATTGTTGCCAACGTTCAAGGCAGTGAAGGGGAATCAGAATCCTCTTTAATTCAATGTGTTTATTACAACCACTATGCATTAAACATTTAGGCTGAATATCTTTTTACCATCTGCCTCTAACTCTTCAACAACAAATAGTCATAAAGCTGGAAACCTATTGAAAACACATATCATGGATCATTAACTGACTACTGACAGATAAAAACTGAGCTACACTGTGCAAATAACAGTGTCAATACACTTATTGAGCAGGGAAAATATGGACAAATATCAGCATGGTACTTCCTTTACTTCAAGTTTCTGTAGATCGTTTTTAAGGGATAAAGAAGAACGGTGGGAAAACTCACCTCTGAATCCTTTTTTGTTACCTGTTAAATGTTATGGCTCACTGTATACGATGTTTGATCAGATAATGAACAGACTGAATTTAAACAGAATTTTAATTTAGTCTTAAGCTCCTTTTTTCGTTTTAAGATTCACTTTCAATGAGGCTATGGTCAAGTACAGCCTGTGACTGCTTTAATTCAGGTCTTAAGAGTATTTTTTAAGTCTTATAAGAAATTCTGGGTAACTGTATCGTAGCTTCGCCTAGAATGACTCATTAAGCAAAAAAGCTTTGTGCTCATCAAAAAAAAGGTAAAAATAAAAAAATACAGACCATAGAAACATTGCAGGCTTTCCAATAAAGAAATTTACACCTGCTAATGCAAAGGGGCTGAATATCTAAACATGCAATTTTTGAAATATTGTCCCATCAGTTAATGTATGTTCAGCCAGTCTAAGACACAGCTGTTTTTCATTTGCTTAATGAGGTAGAAATGCATACAGAAATAAAAAAAAGAATAGGAAGAAATAAATAGGGTAAAAAAAAAAATACAAAGGAAGAATAAAACAGACAAAAATATAATACCATGCACATAAATAAATACCTAAAAAATAAGTAATTAATAAATAAAGTCGAAGATTATAATGGACAATAAATAAATAAGGTAATTATTACAAAGGCGAATAAATAAAAAAGGTAATTAAAAAAGTTATATACATTTCTCATTTACTTGTCTCACTGTATAATTTAATTTCTACCTACATTTATTTGTGTATTGTATTTTGTGGCGCAATTAATTGTATGCTAATTTATTTATTTCTGTATTTACTTTAAAATATGGTAGAGCTGGTCTTCCATACCCCAGGCTTTACATTGAGAAATATATCAACTTTAGCAGTTATCAGCCACATGGGGGCGCTGTCGCCTTACAACTCAGAGGTAATGACTCAACAATGGTGAGGGGTTTGCAGCGTCACTCATTCAGAAAAAACACATAGAGAGTAAACGCAGAGACTGCCATGCTAATAGAACTACTTCATTTAATTAATTGGTTCAATCTACAACAATGCAATGGTAACATTATGCCATGCTGGCTGTAATCAGATTAAAGATTTGCAATACAATTATTAATATGTTGGAAAAAGTTGTTCAATATTGCAGAGCGCTATCTGAACTATAATGAACAATTTTCTTAGTCTTATATTAACCAGTCTGGGTCTGATCTCAGCTTGAAAAGTAAATAAAAATAAAAATATTGATCAATAAAACAGTTGTCATTGAAAGTTATTTTATGATAAGAATTAAACACATGGATTCTAGCACACTAACGATATTTGCTGCTCATAATGCTCTTTTTTTAAGATGTCACTTGTTTTTGTGCGCAATAGAAGCAGCTGATTTTTGAAAGGGATATTTTTGACGAACCTGATTAATTAAAAAAGTGGTCATGGTGATTTAATGAAATCATAAAGCCCTAATATTGTATAATTGCAACCAAACGGGTGTGAGCGCACATATTGGGAAGGCGTGGTCAATCATCAAGTGCAGGAGTTTCCAGTGGAGGCTGCGCGCGTCCTGATCCACAGTCCGTCAGTGGAAACAGCGGAGCTGCGCGTAGACAACTGGAGACTCTGGATTAAAAGAGCGCACCAGCCCTGCATGATTTTTTTCTTTTTAGGTTCAGATTTTTTCTGGCTGTTTGACTGCTGTGCTTGTTTGATCGGGTTTCTGGATGCAGGTGCGTAACGTTTCAAGAATCCACCACTGACGGACCAACCATGGACAGCTTAGGCAGCAGCCGCTGCAAGATCGTGGTGGTCGGGGATACTCAGTGCGGGAAAACGGCGCTCCTGCACGTTTTTGCCAAGGACTGCTATCCAGAGGTGTGTTTAGAGGAAAAGTCTGAACTTGAACTTTTTATAATTAAAGTAATTCAAAGAAACATGTAGGAAAGACACAGACATCAGGTCTGATTCAGCAGGTTTAAAAATCAGGTCTGATTCAGCAGGTTAGATCCACCTGCACAACAGAGACAAAGAAGTGCAAATATGGGGGGTGGGGGGTGTTACTCTCAGAGTAAAATCGTCCTTATGCACATTATGTATGTTGTATCCTTATAATTAATTATTTATTAGAGAGCGTTTTATCAATGGGCATATATTAAGGATAATGTTTTTGATTGGATTTGATTGTATTGACTTGAAAATCCAGATTTAAACTGCATGCACCTAAGTTTAAATCTGTGCAAATTGTTAAAAGTGTACACTCTGAGTAAATCAAACTAAAAATGAGCTGAATTGCTAATAAATATGTTTAAGTAGGTATTTTTCATGCTTTATATCTGCTTTAGAAGAAAGTGGTTATGATCTTCATCCCTAAAAGAAATATTTTGCTTTCAGAACTATGTGCCTACAGTGTTTGAAAACTACACAGCCAGCTTTGAGATAGACAAGCACCGGATTGAGCTCAATATGTGGGACACATCAGGTAAGACAGCTTCATATCTCTGTGTGCTCCAGCTTGCAGACACTGCTGCTGACATCAAACCATGCTGCCTGTCTGTCCCAGGCTCAGATCGTGAGAGCTCTGCCTCCATCTCCCCCTCCACAACTTTCACACCAGTCATCTCTCTGACAAATAGCTTTGACCCTGCCAAATTCACATTGCTTCCCCCCCTTTTTCTTCTATACTTTGAGGCATCTGGTTTTTATGATTTGTTTTCTTTTTGAGGAGACGGTGCCAGCCGTGCTTCTCTGTCTGTTGTGTTTGCATTCTTCCCTGGGCAGGCCACTGTGTGTGGCTGACTCTTCCCATGCTCCGACCAAGGGTCAGGCGACTCTGAGGGAGGAGACAAGAAAAGAGGATGAAGGCATGGATAATTCAGACAGGATGGCCCTGAAGGGACCAGTAATTGCTTTAACAGTTTAAATGTTTTCATCCGCTTTGGATGAATGCAGGTTGGGTCAAATATGTGGTTTGCCATTTCAGCATCTTGCTGAAAAAGATCAATAATCTTGAGTTAAAGTAATGCATGCTTTTCACTTTTTTAACGAATAAAAAAAAAAAAAAAATCAACCTGCTTTTGTTTAAGGTTGCTTTAACTATCCATAAATAAAATTCCTTTCCAAACAGTTGACTTTAGAAATCACCCAAGTTACGAATTAGAACCAACATGTTTGCAGCTGTAAAGGCCTTAGCGATTTGTTAAAGGAAAACTGTGGATAAATAAAATGAAATCAAGAGACATTTTAGATGGGTTAAGAGAAGTTGAATTTTTGGTTATATTACGAGACAATATCTTAAGGGTTGTTAAACCAGTCCCATGGTATGGTACAACCATGAACCTTATAAGAAGGCTGGTCACCTGATCTGAAAGGCCTAAAAAGGAAAACGGCTGTTTGTAGGTAACACTGGAGGAGCTACAGAGCTTCAGAGCCCAGGTATGAGAGTCTGTTGATAGGACAACTATTATATGAGCACTCTAATGTTTGGGCTTTTAAGTTTCATCAATTATTTAAATAATGTAAACTAATTTGGTAATCGATCAATCATTACATGGAATATACAGATTCTAACATATTAGCTGAAAGAGCAACCCACTCAGAGGAGTAATGTTGACCTGTTGGTGACGAGGTCATGATGTGGGGACACCCATTGTCAGTAGGAAAGCAGGTCAGAGTTGATGTCTGGTGCTAATCTTGTAAGAAAATCTGTGAACAGCTGCAAAAGACTTAAGATGGTTGAGGTTCACCATCCAACAGGACAACAATCCTAAATATTCAGACCGAGCTATACAGAGGAAATTGTTTATATGGCCAAGTCAAAGCACAGACCTAAATCAAATAGGAAATTTGCAACAGGTCCTTCCCTTTTTAGTATAACTAAACTAAAGTATTTTTTTATGTCAGTCCAGAAATGTCCAAAAGAGATATTCCCTCAGAGACTTGCTGCTCTAACTGCAGATGACAGGCTTTTTTTAATTCTGTATTGAGCTGAATAACAAAGCAGGGAAATGTTCAGATGCATTCATAAGAGTTTTAGTCACCTAACAACAAAGTTTGATCTGTCATTGGAATTATAGTAGGAAAAGTACTGTGGAAAGCTTTAACAACTGAATGGATTTGGGTGAAATAAATGTTTTTTGGTGAGAAGGTAAACCTTTCCTGTCATGTAGCAAAATGCACCAGACTCTATCTAGGTGTTGTCAGGGTGCATTGATTTACTGCTCTGAGGTTCCTTGAGGTTTTGCATGTCAAAGATTTCTCGCCAAATCAGCTCCTGATAGCCTGGCCAGCAACATGGCCAAACTCTTCTATGGGATCCTCCCAGGGGGAATCATTTTTTTCCTTTTAACATAAATATTCCCAAACCTGTTGCCATATTCAAGCAAAGAGATGATGGGAGTTTTTTTTGTCACGTGATGAGTCATAAAGGAATGTTTTTCTTCCTTGAACCGAGCCTCGACCTAGAGAGTAAATTAGCTAGAGCTTGTCATTCAAGGGTTGAAGTCCTCCGGGGCTTTGGGGCCACAGTTTAGAGTTGCTTATCTCTCAGCTGAAAGAAGTTAATGATGCTGTGGGAATACTGTGCTTCTGTCCATCCCTGAAACCCCCACAAACCACCTCTGGTGATTTCCAGCTTTAATCTTCAGTCGGGAGACGCCTAATTCACAACAAACGTGACGTCACCCGGCCCACAGGGCAAACGCCTGTGTGTGTGTTTGCCTTTGTGCTGCTTCTGTGCGTGTGTGTGTCCTCAGAGTCGGCCATTATTCACTGATTCAAAGTAAACACAGATGTTCATATTTTCTCTCAACAAAAAGGAATAATTGGCTCACACTCAGATGAAAAAGCTTTCATCTGGAGAAAGTGGTTCATCACCCAGGATCCGTCATTCAGGATCCAATTTATGTTTTAGTGGTTCTTCCCCTTCTTATCTTTCAGATTCTTGTTTTGTAAATCATTTTCATCTTTTAAGCCACAATCACCATCAGTTCAGTCAGGTGTCAATTGCACCTAGGAAAGATTTCAGAGAAAGACATGTTTTATTTTTGTGTTGTTTTTAGATGCGAGTTTCCCAATGATTACAGTTTAAGAGTATTTTAAATTCTTTTGTTTTGATGCATCCAAGCCTTCCTCTTTTTTTATCCACTTGGACGTATTTAAAGAGGCACTTTAAGAAATTGGCTGAAAATGTGACAATTTTGTAAAGCATCTTTCTGAAATCAACCAGTCAATCCAGTGATCTAAGGACTGCTAAAATATGATCCACTCCCAAGCAACTGTCTGATCCATTTTTTACAAAGACGCCATGAAAACAGTTTATGTAAAATAAAAGAAGGTCTATTTTTTTTTTTTTGCTTTAATGTGGCAGATATTCAAAGATGTCAGTTTACATTCTCTGACATTATGAACGCAGTGACTCAGAGATTAATCGACTGCCATACAGTGGTGGAATTTAGTTAAAGGTAAAAAGTTGTGTCATCAGCATGTAAGGTAAAAAAAAGCTGTAATAATTTCTAATCGGACCATTGGGGAGCATCTAAATAGTGAATATAGGGGGTCCAATAAATTATATTGAGTTCCCCACATGTGATCTTTGTTTCCCCAGATTTAGAATAAGTAAAAAAAAAAAAAAAGCAGCCCCATTCTGCCCATTAAAATCCTAAAAAAGTCCCAGAAGATCTCTCCTGCCTGTCAGTATTTTGCAACTGCTATACTCCAATCCAATTTTATTTGTTAAGCACTTATAAAACAACCACAGCTAATACCAAAGTACTATACAAAAAAATAACATAAAAACAGTACAGGTAACAGATAAAACAGCTACAACATAGGTAAAAAAAATAACATTCACAAAAAAGAAATAAAACTAGGTAAAAGATAAAAGGGTTAAAAGGATAAATTAAAGCCTACTGTCTTGCTAGGTGTAAAAGCCAAAGCGAAAAGCTTGGTTTTGACAAGAGATTTGAAAACAGTCAGAGAAGAGAAGAGGCCTGTCTGATGTGCTGAGGCAGGTCATTCCAGAGCTTTGAGCTGCAGCGGCGAAAGCGTGGTCCCCTCTGAGCTTCCGCTTAGTTTTAAGCTCTCTTAGGAGCAGCTGACCTGAAGGAGCGAGTAGGTTTATAAGGATGTAAAAGCTCTGAGAGGTACAGTGGGCCAAAATCATTTAGGGATTTCAGAGCAAATAAAATAATTTAAAAATTAATTCTAACATGTATGGCCAGTCAGTGGAGTGAGGCTAAAATGGGGGAGATGCGCTCATGTTTCCCTTTGCCGGTTAAAAGGCGAGCTGCAGCATTTTGAACCATGTGGAGACGGAAGATGGAGGAGGCACTAACCCACACATAGAGGGCATTGCAATAATCTAGCCAACTGGTAAAAAAGGTGTGGATTACCATTTCAAACTTTTGCCTTCAAAGAATTAGCTTTATTTTCCCATCTCCCTCAAATGTTTAAAAAACAAATTGAATCAACTGCCCTGATCTGGCTGTCAAACTTAAGATCTGCATCCACTAGGTTAGTGATTATTGGTTTGATATGCTGGACCAAAGAGCCCAGATCTGTTCCAGTGGTGTCACCAAAAACCACCACTTCAGCCTTTTTTTATTAAAATTTAAAAAGTTCAGAGACATCCAGGCCTTTATGTCAGGCAATGATAGAGAGGGCTACTTTCTTTTTAAGAGCGACATAAATTTGACTGTCATCAATACTGACGGTACGGCCAACACAGACGTTTCAGGTGCATCGTTGTTAAACATGCACTGCAGACTCCCTGCTGTGGAACGATTTGAGACAAGATAGGAAGGCATTAAAAAGCTGGACCTCTGCAGATGGTGGCTTGTATTTGCATTTTTTTGCCATTTTGTGTTTCAGCAGTTATGGAATATTCATAAAATACTTTTAAAGCATAGTTAATTTGCCCTATTTCAGTTTAAATGAGTAACTGACCAGGAAACAACTTTAGAATATAGCAGGAAGGATAAATCAACTTGCTATATTTTAGTTTTTTCTTGCAGGATTTGAAATCCTGTCATGAAACATGTTGGATTAGTTATAAAATGGGGTACACTGTCTTGAAAAAGCAGACAAAACCAAACCAATGTTAACTCTGAAGACTCCATTTTGAAACATAAACTACAGATCTTTTTTCGGTTGTTGTAAAACCCTGTTTTACAGTCAATGCTGACTGACAATGAGATTTTGCCTTTACTAAATAACTGAAGAACAGCCATGCCAGGAATGCTTGAAATAAATATTTTCAATGCTTCTAATTATATGTCTCAAAAAGAGATTGAAAATACAAAATCAGTACAGGCAGGTCAAAGCTTTGCAAAATCATAAAATCTCTGATTTCTACTTATCATCTCTCTAGTGCTACACCTATAGTCCACTTGACATTTACCTGTGAATGAGAAGTTTGCATTGATCAATTTTCTACCTGCTTTCCTAATAAATGCTCTTTCTAAGTATAAATGTAAATCTGAT